GAGCATCAGCTCGATAGCGTTTTTTTGGACATACATCCCAAAGCAGAGTTCGACGGACCTCAACAGTGAGGTTACACTTTAGCCAGAAGAATCATTCCATTCGGGATGTTATGATTATACCGTTTGAAACAGGTTATCTTAATGAGGATCATCGAAAAGCACGAGAATCATACTGGATAAAGAAAGTAAACCCTACTTTGAATATCAAAAGCTATTATAACTTGGTGGTAAAAATATTTTAATTTCGTCGCCACGTTTTCGCCACGCCACATCCACACACACGAATACTTGACAATTTAGAAATATTAGAAGAATTTAGTCACATTAATAGTGGAAATTGGTCAAAAAAAGACACGGTAAAATAATTTAATTTTTAATAATTTGGTGTTTATTTTCTCTGAGAGCTCTCTATCTTTTCTTTTTTGTAAATTGACTATTTTTAATTTAATATTGATAAAATGGACACTGAATTAGTTCAGAGTGTTTGTACTAAGTGGTTACAATTAGCATCCTTAAAAATTGCTAAGGATGGAATATACTCACCACAAGCTTGGGGGGCGTTCGTTAGAGAACTGAATAGACAGTTTCCTGATACGTTGGAGAAATTTGGTATACATATTGGAGTGAAAATAGATATTAATACTATATGGAAGTTGGTTTTATTGCTAAATCAGGAGGCTACACGGAGTTCTCCTTCATGGTTAAATATAGATCAACTTGTACTGGTGACGGAGTACTTTCATTGAGCGATGCAAAATCAAACTAGACCTCCATATAATAATGAGTTAGAGAATTTTCTTCATCCAGGAGCACTCTTATTGATGAACACACCAGTATTGCCATTTTCTCCAAATATTAAGGAGACAAGTCAAGATATTCTTGAAAGGCAAAATCAAACACTCCCACTAACACACTCTAATACAGTACAAGTAGCTTCGTCAATAGATAGTGAGAGTGAACAGATTGAGAAGGAGGACGAGATGTTGACATTGATAACTACACAGGTGGTAACAGCTACCAATAGTATGGTGTCGAATATGTCAGCACCAGGTCGAATGATGAATTCAGATCCGTCTTTCAATTGTAGCGAGACTGCTATTCGGTCATCTCGTCGACCTGTTGATACTGTACTTGAAGCGGTATTGAATAATAACAGTAACAGTAATCAATCGGATGGAAATGTTTTATCCCAACAATTAGAGCATGCACCTTCACATATAGGTAATATGGATCAGACACAGACGTCAGTTACGTCTGAGGACGTAGTTAATGAAATGCGAAGGGCTGCTCCTATACACTCATCTATGCAGTTTGTAAATAACGCCGAGGTACAGACCGATATTAGCTTTGAGTGCTCAACTGGAAAGGTCTAGAATAGTTCATTGGACGATGAGATCGAAGGTTTTCGTCCGTTTCGTGAATGGGGCTTATGACAGATTGTAAAGCTCAAGTACATAACGTTAAATTATGTAAAGCTGAACAATGCGAAGGGGCAACGACATGTTAGGCGTGTTCTCGACGAAGCCGATCAATAATTGCGCAGACTGAACTTACGGCCGTCCAGTCGGAAGAGGATCTGATTAGCAAATATCGAGTAGAATACAATCGATATTACCGTTTTCGTAATCATTTGGCTTTAAACAGCTACTATCAGGAAAATCACATATTCCCGAAAATACTGCAGTTTGATAGTCCCCATCAATCATTCGGCACTCAAGATGATGGAATTCGGAATAAATGGTAGAATATCATTCGTGAGATGAAGTTAAAGTTATTACAATGTGAGGCTGAAGCTATATCACAAACGATTGAGTCGGCAGAATCAGTATGCATGACTATACGTAGTAAATTGTCTGCAACAAAGAGGGAGACTGAATTGGTGGATGTTGAGCGTGAAGAAGGATTAAACTGAAAGAAATGATCGAAAAATCGTGGAATAAAGTTTTCCGAACGGAGATTCGGGAGATTATCCCCAAAAAATGGTTGGGAAACACATTGTCCACGTCTTCTACACTCAACTCCAATAGCTCGGCTACATCTACACTAAACGATACGCAGGTTCATACATCGAATCGATCCAAACAAAAAGCCTTGCAACATCATAAAACTCGATTAATTTGTCGAGGATATGGCAAACAGGGCCATAGACAATTGAGATGCTTAGGAAAATGGGCGTTTTGTCGAGATGGAAGACATTCAGAGGAATACTATAAGAAGAAAAAGAATCAGGTTTAGTCGCCATACTCACCTGGACAAATAAATATAGAATTAGTCACGAAAAAGGATGGGATGGTGACGAAACTTAGAGCATTAGCTCAGCGATCAGATTCCAATGAGACGCCACAGTTGGTTACACCGAATGAAGGTCGTCTACCACCTCGTACGAATTCAAGTTACTTAAACAATGGGTTAACCCGACATCCAGGACGGCGTAATACCTGGCGTAGCAATTCGAGTAGAAATTTCCAGAATTATAGTGGTGGCAGTGTCACCAACTCCCGAAAAACTCTCCAGTCCGAGCGAAGTTTAGACTCAAAACTGCGCAAGATTATACAAACGCCTTGTGTTAGCGTTTGACAATTGGACTAGTTTACTGGCATTTTCTCCCCGAATACGAGCTGCGTTTCAATAAATTTACAAAACGTTTTCTGCACATTCTCATCTGCATTTACCGTACTAGAACCGTTAAAAGCAATATAGGAATTTGGGAATGTGTCCAATAACTCCGTTAAGACTGATAAATCACTATTTGCATTTATACAATGTCAGTGTATCGGGTGATCTATTGGTAAGATCGCTGTCAGAACTTCATACATTTTACGAGAGAGATGAATTCCCCTACAGTGAACAACAAGCGACATTCTAAATTTCTCAGCCATTAAGACTTGTTCAATGTATATCATCCTCAGGAAAATGTCTACTAGTATCATCCAAGCCCATCTCTCCGATAGCTACTATAGGTCTGCCCGATTTCGGTCGATCTTTATTCGCGAAAATACTGGAGAGTGCTGTGAGTTCTGTTTGCTTGTCCTGCGGAATAAACTTAGGGTGAATTCCAAATGTTTCAAAAATTCTCGTGTTCTTATACGGGCACGCTTTCATTGTGTCCACAAATAATACTTATGCTTGTTTGATATCAATATCGTTTGACGAACATTAGACTGTTCTAATTCTTGGAAAAATGAATCTTCATTCATTCCATATTCACCAAACGAATCAAAATGGCAGTGATTGTCGAACACTGGACGAAGCACAGATAAGTGAGATTCAATCTTGCAATGGCATGGCGTTAGTAAACTCTTCAGACCAATGTCCATCGTCCTAAAAAAACCTTTTTTGATACTATATAATTCTTACTATCTATTCAGCTATCAACAGAAACAGACATCTAGTAAACGGACCAAACACCCAGTCCAGAAACACCGCATCAAGGGGAAACCTCTAGTCATACACCGTCCCTGATGGAAAGGAGAATACATGAAATATTACTAGAGAACTACCACGGACGCGGTAGTCTAGACCCAAGTGTTCTCATCTACCATATTAGTTCTTCAATCAAAGTATAGACCTCTAAATAATTCGAAAGAAGTTATTCCTAGTGACCGTATCCTGATGAATGTATATAATCAGTTATGACCAAAACGGATCGTGAGTACTGTGATTGAAACGGATCCAAAACGGTCCGTTCTGGTGGCAGATTTATCACCATAATGACAACAATTATTGAGATTAATTCAGATTTAGAAAAGGAAGGTTTTACAATATCATGGCTCTCGCCCTATAGGAATGGTATCTTTCGAATTTAAGTTCTATAGTACACTAACTCTTATGGTAAATATTACCAAGTTTTCCTACTTATACGAGAAAAACTATAGTATTTTTTCTTCAGTGGTTAAATTAAACGAGATAAGCAACCTGAGAATATAAATATTTTCAGATTACAACCTGTATAAAATATTTTTACCACCAAGTTATAGTAGCTTTTGATATTCAAAGTAGGGTTTACTTTCTTTATCCAGTATGATTCTCGTGCTTTTCGATGATCCTCATTAAGATAACCTGTCTCACACGGTATAATCATAACATCCCGAATGGAATGATTCTTCTGGCTAAAGTGTAACCTCACTGTTGAGGTCCGTCGAACTCTGCTTTGGGATGTATGTCCAAAAAAACGCTATCGAGCTGATGC